CTTGGCCCTACAGCCTGCCTTGAATTTTAGTCTCTGCCGAGAAGCCTGAGCAAGCAGGGGCTGAGCACAAGGCAAACAAACAGAGCAGTGTGTGGAGCAAATGGTGGGACTGATACCCACCGTATCTGCTGGCTGCCAGGACCAGTTACAGACCAACTGAGGGCAGGGGAAGCCGAGCGCTCCACCAGCGAGAGCGATCAGCTGGGAGAAAAGGGGAGGACGCACGCAGTCCTTTCTGTGTGAGCCGCAGCACAGAACAGCTGTCCCACCCGAACACGTCGACAAACAGGCCAGAATCCACAGGCACCATGCACGGATATGAAAGGCACGTGCAAGGAGCCGAGGACTTCCTCGACTGGCTCTGGTAGCAGGCACGTGGCCATGCGCTAACAGATCTGGGATCTGGTCCCCACAGCCTCTGGGGTCTTAGGCCCTCGCTCATGTCTGTACGGGTGACACCAGCCTCACCTGGGAAGCCACGAGGAGTATCTAGTGCTCATTCAATCCCCATGCTAAATGCCAGGTAAGCAATGAGAATCAGATCAGCAAAAGCTTCAAAACCCCCAGTCTGTCCGGACAGGTTCAAGGTTGAGCCCAGACACTCGGTGGTAGAGGTGTCTGCCAGTTCAGCCAGCACAGGTTCAGTGTGGCAGTGTTTTCCAGTGCAAGACCGGCTCAGTCAGCCCTCCGGGAACAGAGCGGTGGAAATTCTGCAGTAAAAATGGGCTGATTTGACACCTTTCTTCTACAGGCACTTGGGTTTGGGCATTTTAAACCTTCTGTAGCATTTTAGATTTCTTTTTGGTGCTGAACACCCTGAGAAGTGATGAAGCAGGAAGAGGAGATGACCACAAAGATGACTGACAAGACAAGGGGACTTGGGCAACCAGCCCCCAACTGCTCACACCTCAGCCATGGAGTGAGATTTTGCAAAGCGTGGGAGCATTTCTACCTCGATAAAGTTATCACCAATACGATGCCTGCAAGCTGTTTGCGGCTGACAGGTCAACGGTGGCCCAGGGCGTAGTGTTGGGACCACCGTGCTGTAGCAACACCTGAGGTGCATGCACAGAGGAGCTGGAGAAGAGAGGCCCCAGGCAGGCACACCAACACCCAGTTGTGTGCTGGCCCACAGTACAGCTGCAGCCAGTCATGGAGGGGAAGTGGGCTAATGGAGCAGGCACTGGTTTTGCAGGCCAGCCAGCAGGATAAGGAAGTGAAGAAGAGGAAGGAGGTTGTGGAAGAGCAAGGGCCATGGAGCAGGGTGAGGACACGGCTGCACAGGAGCGCCGGGGAGAGGCACGTGGGGCAGCAAGGGGTGGTTGTGGAGGTGCATGTGAGGACTGTCAAGAAGCATGAGAAAGCCACGTAAGAGGAGGAGAGGTCTTGGGCACAAGTGAAGCACAAGGTGAAAACCAGGGAGGTTCAAGGGTGCTGAGGAAGGTGCATGAGCACAATGTGCCCTGTCCTCAGCTGCATTTCACCCAATGCACCAAGAATGGGGACACACCCAACATGCAAGGCATTTCAAGGAGCAGATGTACTTTGAAGTGCCACAAAAATGTAATAGTTTCATAGTTTCTAGGGTCAGAA